TCAAAGTATACTACGAAGTATAGATTTTCCAGGTGAAGTACGATAGTAACTTTACTATCGTACTTTTGAAAAAGATTCCTGCGCTTTAATTGGCCGCAGAGATCTTATCTTTACGATAAGACATGCAAAACTTTTTCTCTCTCTGCGATTGCAAGCAGCCGTTACTGATCGATCAAAGACTATGAAATCTGTCATATTTACTTGTTTACCATGGATTGCTCTCAGATTACGATCAATACTCTGGCCGCTCAACCAATTGCTCCTCCTTCGAGTACTGTGTCCTCGAGTGCTGGTCCTTCTCGAAGTAGCGATGATACTCTTGCTTCCATTCTTTTGCTTGATTTCGATATCACTCCATTCTTCCGTAAGATTTATCCAGAACAGCCTAAACTAGGCCCTTCAGGTAAACGGAAAGCTACAGGGAATGCTGTATATCGATGCCTCCATTGCCCTGCAGATACGCCATGGGAAAGCAAACAGAAATCTAACGCTCGCAACCATGCTCGGAAGGTGCATCCCAATATCGTTATAAACTCCCGTAGTAACCTTGGTGTGGATTCGAATTCGGATGGCGTCGAACAGCCTTTCCAGAAGCCCCGGATTGACCACTTTTACGCCCTTCAAGCCTCCGAATCCTCTCTCCGCCGTGCATTTGATCGACAGCGATATATCCAGGCCTGGGTAGGCCTCCTAACTAGGAGGCGCCTTCCGTTTTCTGCAGTTACCTGGGATGAGATGTCGGAATTAGTACTAGCGAGTAATCCGGCTGTGGAAGATTTATTGCTCACATCTCGGCATGCTGCGATGCGGCATATATCCGCGAATTTCGACCTATATCGGACCAGGCTTCGAAGTCTACTTGAGGGCTCCTTCTCAGCCGTACACATTTCATCTGACCTTTGGACTAGTCCTCATCGGCATGGTATTCTAGCCCTCTGTGCTAGATGGATTGATGCAGATTTGAAGCCTAGAAGCGCGCTGCTAGGGATGCCGGAATGCAAATTCAGCCGTAGTGGAGAGCACCAAGCGGAACTCATACTTGAGGTGCTTGAGCTCTACGGTCTTCCTAGAAGGCTAGGATATCATACCAGTGACAACGCTACATCAAATGATACATGTCTGCAACACCTTTCGCGGCTTCTCAAGGAAAAACACGGGGTAAGATTGTGTCCCACCCTTTACGCCTAAGCAAAGGACTAAATACATCCTACATTAGGCCGATTTTAACCCCAAACTGCGTCGTATCCGTTGTGTTGCGCATATTCTCAATCTCTCCCTTCAGGCATTCCTTCTAGCCTCCTCAAAAGAAGCCCTGATCGCAGCCCTCGAAGCCGCTGATGATACGACAGGTGATGCAATGTATGAGCAATTCTACGAAGCATTAAATACAGCCATGATTGTTCTGTTCTTGTTGTTGTTGTTCTATGTAAGTGCCTCCATCGCTGCTGCCTTGGTGGCAGGCAGCAACGATGTGGGTCACGGCTGCCTGCCTCACCTGGTAGCTGCAACAATTGATGTATTTGACCCATTTTTCTACTAGCCATAAAGGTAGAAATTCCTGGAAAAGTAACAAAGGCGTTGATGGAAGCTGTTGAATTTGAGGCTCGCGGTCGGGCACACGAAAAGGGGTGAAAACAGAGCCTTTATCGCGTACAGGGTCATAAAAAGGCCTCGTTGTGCCTTTATCAATAGCCTGCTCAATTTGGCAGTGTTCAAGGCAGACGAATAACGCATTATCAGCTGTTGAGATGCTCGCGATGTCACTTTTTGGCGGCATTATTTAGCCTAGAATGGCTAGTATGATAATTTTGGTGTGGAAGGTTTTGTGGGCGGCTTGGTTGCAAAGAAGGTACCTGTTAGGTAGCGCAGAAAAAGTGGGGCCGTTACATCGATTGGACCTGCGCGCAGTCAAAGGGATGGGAGTAGATTGGGCGACGCCCAGGATACAAAACGCCGCGTTAAACAGCAAAAGTGAACCTGATGCATCAAACGTAGCCTTTATTAGATGAGCTTTTTTTTTTCCCCTACAAATACAGGTGGCCAGATTGGATGAACGACCCTAGCCCTGGAGGTGGATCATTTCCAAGGTTGTTGGCTCTAGAAATACGACGACCCGGATGATAAAGGTCCATTCCATGAGTCAGGGAGGACACATTGGCGCACGGCATGGCGCTGATAACCATAGAAATGACTCGGCGGTTCTTGATTCTCTGTAGCAACCAACAGCCAAGGCATATCTGTAGACGGACCTGCATAATTCATTTAGCCCTTAGCCTACTAAATGCATCATCATACCATGCCGAGTCTTGGCACCGCAGCATAAGTTATTTGCAGGGCTTTATTTTATCGGCACTTTCTACCATCTATCGTGTCTGGCGGGTTGCGAGGCCTTTACAATGCATTATGCGGCTTTGTACCGGTCTAGCGCTTGGTACGGCCCAACACGGTATTTCAACATCATGCTTGCATGATGCTTAAATGTCTCAAATTATAAAAAGAAATTAAAAAAGGGTAATATGAGCTATAGTATATGGCGCCTTTCTACAAACCCGTCCACGAGGCTTCTCTATATATGAGTCTCCATCTACCCACCGAGTAACTAGTCGTTGTCTTCAACCTCAACCCAACCAGTCTTTTAGTTCTTGTGTTGTCTTTGCCTACCAATCCCCCTTATCGCTCGTTTATTTTTAAATCTTATCCTTATTTCAAGAATGCTTGTTAATTCTGCGGTCCTTGCCGCCGCTCTGGCGGTTCTCGATGGCGTCTCTGCCTCCCCCATCAAGAGACAGGTCCTCAAGGACGAGAACGTTGGCAACCGAATTCAAGGAGAGGCCAAGATTGGCGACAAGTGCCACCCGCCAGGCACCTACGAGCTTGGGGGTAGCAAGATTATTCCCCCTTGTCTTTCCGAGCAGGCCATTGCTCTCAAGTGCGAAAAGGTGACGCATCTGGCGAGCGATCCTTCGGAAAAGAATCGGAGGGCCTATGGCGAGTGCCTGGCAGGACGTGGCAGCTCCTACTTCCGCGATGTGCAAGGCTGCCTGTCCTGCAAGAAGAGCCATGGCCACCTCTCGGAGAAGCAGTACGACTGGTACTCAAAGAGATGGGCCGAGGGCCGTGAGGCCTTTATCAAGGACGACGTGCCCAAAACCAACGTGTGGGATGGATACGTCCAAGCTGCCATTGGCGGCAGTAAGTGCCAGCACGGCAACGAAACGCTTTACGGATGGGCATGCTGGGACAAGCTCCCCAAGGGTCCTGGCGAGACCGATGAGACTGTGCCTATCGAGGAGTACTACACGGACCGCCTCGAGACGCAGAACATTGGAAGCTTTGATCTGGATGGCAAGAAGTACCCCGAATCCACAACCATGGAGGTGGAGCTTAAAGAGTTCACCTTTGAGATTACCGGCCATCTGGGATACTACTCGTCCGCCAAGCTGGAAGACGGCACCCTCACCGTCGAAGGTCATGCTGAGCTCAAGGTGCAAACCGTGACTGAATATCGCGAGATCAAGTCCATTTGCAACTTCACCACCCCTGACGTCTTCACCATTGTGTCCGCCATCAGCCCTGCTGTGCCTCTCAAGGATTCGGTTGCCACTGTTCCCGAGAAGGAGGCGTCTACCCTCCCTACCATCAACTGCGACGGTTCTTGCATCGCTTCATCACTCAGCATCAAGGAGCTCGAGGTGGTGGTCATCCAAGGCTCCAAGAAGGTCGATGAGGTCGTGGCTGAAGCTGCTACCCCTGCGCTGAACGAGTTGAAGCAGAACAAGTCTGTCAGCCATGAAGCCGAGATCACGATCCTCAAACAGGTCAACGTTTTGTTTACCAATATTAAGAAATATCCCACTCCTAGTGAGGTCAGCCCGCCTGCCACTCCCAGCGAAGCCAGCTCGCCTGCCACTAGCAAGAATCCGTGTGTAACTCGACGCCGTCGATGAAGGGTTCCAAATGTTGCCGGATGCCGGATGCCTGCTGACAAGGACTGCAACTCCCACTTGACTTCGAACTTTGCTTTTGCCAGGTTACGGCGACGCAGTTGCGCTGAGGGTGATGGTCGTCCAATGGTACAAGCCACAGGCCTAGCTATTATTGCCCTGCTTACTAGTGTCGCCATACAGTAAACATAGTATCTCTAGTTAGATAGTTATATTAAAATAATATTTAAATAGTATTAGCTAGGTATACTAATATTATTACAGTTTATATACTTTTCTCTCTATCTAGCTCGCGCTGGTGCAGCTTAGTTACAATCCCAGTCGGCACAAGGCAAGGCTGTGCTCCGCCGCCGCTGCTGCTGCAGATGCCGAAAAAGTATTAAGGACCTTGAGTTGCCGCAGTGTAGGAAAAAAGACAGAGTCATGAATATACAAGAATGGCAACCGCGTAACGCGACAATTAAAAGATAGGAAGTTTTTTCATCGGGGGGAGGAGGAGCAGAGTCATCAAGGAATACACAAGAATTGAACCTGAACCTGAACCGGTTGAAAAAAAGCTTCGCTTTAAGAAATGCGCTAATGGCTGTGACAGCC